GGGGTACCCATCAGCAAAATCTCGGCACTGAAACTTGCTTGGTTGCCGAGTTGAAATACCCGGACACACACACACACACACACACACACATACACACACACACAGACGGAGTCGTCTCAATATGCGTTCTTGCAATTTGCATATAGGCAAAAACGCATAATATACGAAGTTAGCAGCAGCGGATTAGAAATGCAGGACTGTCAAATATGGCAGCACTAAACGACGCCGAGTTATGATGCGGCACGCTATCATTATCATCTGCTCAAAGAAAATCGGACAAAATCGTGAATGCCCCACTGCTCAAAAGAGAAGATTTGAGAGCTGATTTTAAAACTTCGGCCTCAGCTACGACCGGGGATTGCATTTCTAATCCAGCTTCCTAGCTTTCATGATTCTGAAATCGAATGATGCGCATATATCCACGCAAACATACGTATAAAAAAAAAGAGGAGCTCAGTAACTACGTTTATCTGATTTCTGCAAGAACGCACAGAACCTGGAAAAACTATCAATGCCTGAAAATGGAGTCCATTTTTCATTCGTTTAAAAATCACCTACACAATTGTCTTTTACCATAGGCTCCAAATATAAAAACGTACCGCTTTTAAATCGTCCTCCCTTACACCCGATCCAAGATTAGCGACAAATAACGTGGAGCAAGCTGGTGTAGAAGCTGCGGCAACGGCAGCGGCTGCTGCATTCGCGGTTGCTACGGCATTCAACTGTGCAGCTGCCAGATGGGTGAAAGCAGCATTCGGCTGCAACAATGCCGCAGCAGCTGCAGGCGTCGCAGCAGCAGGCGGGATCGGCAAGCCAGTGGCGTTCGAGAGCAAGAAATGTGTCGGATGTGGTGCACCGAATTGCGGCATTGCTGGAATAAGCAGTTGATGAGCATCGTTGAATAACTGTGAGACATGTGAATCGCTGGCAAAACTGTTGACCAGATCGTGATGTGAGGTAGATATTGGTGGCGGGGGTGGTGCAGCACCCGCAGCGGCAAGGAACTGCTGGGGTGCTACTGCTGCAGCTGCTGCGGCCGCAGCGGCGGCTTGAAAATTCAGAACGTTTGGTGCAAGTGCACCCGCTGCAGGTGGAGGAGGTTGAAGAACTCCCGGCGGCGAAATCTGCTGCTTCGGTTTCGAAACTTTCGTATTGCTGTGCGCTGGTTCTAGACGAATCGTCTGGCTGCTTTCCGGATCAAACCGGACACCCTGCAACGCCACGCGCGCTTCCTCCATTTCAGCTTTAGATGAAAATGTCACAAATCCCACTGGAGAAGCGGTTTTGCCATTCTTGGACGTAACCCGCAGCTGCGATCCTTCGTAGCCCGGGCAAGCCCGGAACAGTAAATAGAGTTCGCGCGGTTTCGTATCCATCGGCAAACCTGAGACAAATAATGTGCGTACTTGTGCGGCTGCAATTGCTGCCGCCGACAGCGAGTTGGCTGTTTCAAGCGAAGAAGGTCCGCCATTCTCCATTTTTGGAGGCGGACCACTACCAGAAGAAAGTGATCGCTTCAGCCTTAGACGCTTTCTTACAGATCCCTTTCAGCAAAAAATCGACGAAACGGCCGAAATCGCCAGTTTATTACTCACCACGAGCCTGAAAAGGTGGAAAATTTGCCGAGTTTAAAACTAAATAATTTATAGTTCGAACATAATTCACGGACCAGAGCATAAATGCCACTCCGCTGTTGCGCTTCGCTTGACCAACACTCACACAATTCAAAGTGACGGTTTTGCGCCCTCAGTGTTATCAAGATACAAATCCCACATCCTAGCCGTAGCTACGCCTCTAGCTTTTAGTTTTTATCGTCTCCCGAATTATTCAGCTGGTCGGTTTCTTCCATACAGACACATCGCCAGCATCGTTCGCAAGTAGGCACTATGTCCCTCAGGTTTTACTTCTCCCGATCGTGACTATTTCATGCAACTGCAGCAGCGTTTCATTATACGACGTACTCTCTACAGCTGGGAAGTCCCAGCAGAAGCTATTTTCGCCTAAATGTGTGTGATAGCGTGTGGCGCACTGACAACAACAACAACAACAACAACAACAACAACAACAACAACAGCAGCAGCAGCAGCAGCAGAAGAAGAAGAAGCAGTTGTAGTAATAGTGACAGTATTAGTAGTAGCAGTAGTAGTGCAACAATAACAACAACAACAGCACTTCCCTATTATAAAGCATTTCAAACAGAGACCGGTCGCTTTTGTTGCCTTTTGAACATTACATTTGGTAGTGTTTGGCATTGTAACACTCTTTTCAGTGCCTTTCCTCTGGGCTTTACGCGTTTTCAGGGTTACTAAAAGGGAAGTCTAACCTTGAAAACGCGTAAAGCCAGAGGGGAAGCCACTAAGAGTGTTACAGTGCCAAACACATCTAAATACAATCTTCAAAAAGTAACAAAAGCGTCCAGTCTCCAGTAGTCCCTCTCTCACCCGCATGAGAGGACAAACCTTTCCCAGAGAGTAAGGCCGGGATCGAGGAGAGGGGAAACGAAGAGACATTCGCAGACGGACGTCAGTTGCCATCCAAATCTCTGCACTCTGCGGGACCAATTCAGATCGATTAGAGCGATGAAAACTATATGGCAGGTAAGTGCTTGCTATCCTCCTCCCACATCCCGTCCTCAACGTCTCACCCTTCCCCCTTATTCTCGTCCCAATTTCACACGACAGTTTCTACGCGACCAGATCTGTGGAGCAGCAAAACGCAGCCAGCCTCCTTCTTTCTTGCACAACCACTAGGTCGTGTAATCAGACGATGTATGTCTGAATGCGTATGCGTGGATGCGCGCGTGCGTGTGCATGCTCTAATGCACTGCTCCCAGTCAATAATTTCACACACACACACACACACCTCCTAATACACAACCACATACACACTCCTCACCCATACATCCACATATACACAAAACGTATGCATTTATGTGCAACCTCACATATATATATATACATATATAATGCATATATCTGTATATAGCACGACTGTATGTACAACATATATGCATGTACATATATACATATACATATATATATGTATATATATATATATATAAAGCAAGCTCACCAAGACCCCTTGAGTCATATTCATGGGTATCTTATGTTGGTGATGTTACTGGAAAGATCTCATACACCAGCGCAACTATTTCAGACTCTTCGATTCTGGGCTGCGTACCTCCAGATAGTATTCACCCCTAACGATTAAGGGTTCAATTCAAGTGCTCAACTTTTTCGACAGTCGTTTGATTTCTTATAGGCATCACTCTCAATAAGCAACGTTTGCCGACTGTTACGAGACGAACAACGTGATGTGCTTAACGGATTTAACTTCTTCGCCCGATCGCAATAATATCCTGCACGCCACCTATCTGACGAAAAATAAGACTATTTATACAGTTGTGGAAAGACATCTCATAAGAACAAATGTACACGATTTAATGGATTGAAAAATGTTTCAGCCCTTGCCATGAATTTTTTTTTTTTTAATTTTTGGCTACTACTATACTACATTATTTTAACGGTGCAATGTTTTTACTATTATTTCCAATTACCGCCATTTAGATTTTATTGCTGATTTCTAGAAGTATTGTAGGTGTTTGTATTATATTTAACGGTCTTTATTCTACATCGCCAGTTATATAATATTTATTTTTACTGAGTCGCCTTTATGAGAAACAATACCAATATTATTACTAATGATTATGTAGTCCTATTTATAAATCTAATTCTACTATAATCCTTCGCTCTATCACTCCCTCTTTGACAGGCCAGCGCTCGCTCTCCCGCTTTCATAAGTAACTGCGTCTAACATCCGTAGCTCACAGTTTTCAACGCAGCGGCATATATATATATATATATATATATATATATATATACATATATCCTCAGAAAGGATGAACGTATCAGAAACAACGGTGAAGTAACACAAGAGATTTAATAAAAGAGTTTGAAAAGAGATGTGTAAAAAAACATAATTTGAAAAGTCCAAGAAGGTAGTTTTGCTTTTATGTAAAAATTGTAACAAAGAAACTGGAGGAATGTTTCGATCCATTGAGTCGTATACACTTCAATACAACAGCTGCGCCTCGTTAGTACGATGGTTGCGGCTTCATAAAGATTTTTTTTTTTTTTTAAACGGAAATATAATTTTGCATGTGTGAGATATTGTAGCGGTTGAACTGCTCATTAGTTTGTTATTTTCGAACATATGAAACCAAAAACCAAGATAACGTTTGAGATATTTTATCATGTACGTACAAAAGTACATGTATATAGGTGTACATATATACATATATATACACATATGTATATATACATATGTATATATACATATGTGTACATATATACATAATTATGTATGCGTGTGCCTACACAGCATCTGCAGGTGGAAAACGCGCTTCCGCTATGCTCCAGCC